CCGGACGCGACGAAAGCGCCGACAGCAACGACGGCCGTGTGTGGCGACGTGTGGACACCGTACACTGCGGGTTTGTGGGGGGCCAGGGGACAATTATTACATAATACTGCGGTCATTTCTGCATTAGCGCGCGATAGTCATAATAATATATAAATAAGGTATGCTCATTAGTGAACTATGGATACAGGTATGTTTGTTATAATAATCATATCAGTGCAAAAAAAATGCTGTGACGTTACAAATATTATTATATTCCATCTAAATTTTATATATTTTCGTAGATTTTCCGGTCCTAGAACCAAATTAAAAGAAAGATTAGCACGTGAAGAACGTGGTATAAACAGACTTGACAAGTTGGCCAGAGCTCACGATATTGCATACGACGTAAGTAATTCACTAACCGATAGACATAGAGCAGACGAAGTATTAGAAAATCAGGTTTGGGAGGTGTTTAAGTCTAAAAACACAGGAATCAAGGAAAAAGCCGCGTCTTGGTTGGTCACTACAGCTATGAAGGCTAAGCGTAAGCTGGGGGGCTGGTTGTGGTTTTAAAAAAATGGTTTTGGCAGCTAAAAATGCAATCAAGAATAAAGTAAATGAAAAGAATATAACTAAATTAGTTAGAACTTGTCGAACAGCTGCGAAAAAATGAAAAAAAATAAAAAAATAAAAATACTAAAACTCCATGACACGGTCCGCAACGGCAACCAGTACAAAGTACAGGTGCCGCAGCGACCTGTCTTTGCTCTTGTCAACCGCCACCACGGGATACGACCGGGCGACACAGTCGACTCTCCCGGCGCGCCGCATCGCGCCGCATCCCGGATCGCTCTCTCGTTCGTCGTCCGTCGTATTGACAACACCCGTCCGACACCATTAACACGCGAATACTTAGAATCGTATCCGCATCAACCGACGTCGAACCATCGCATCACATATCATACCACCGTCGTGGTACACAATTGTTAAATTATTTGTATCAGTGAAAAATAAACATCCTCATTAGTCATTACCGAAAACCACGAGTTTTGTTTTTCTTGTAGTTCTTTTGTAACTCGTGTCAACCAGCAACTCCTTACCACCCGTGCGACCGGCCTACYGCGGACACCCCACCACGAGTCACACCGCCGTAGCAGCGTCATCCAAGAATGATACCCATACCGAAAAAGGGTGGAGTTTTACCTTTAATACCTATTTTTGCTGGTTTATCAGCATTAGGCGCACTCACCGGAGGCGTCGGTAATATAGTGAAAGTTGTGAAAGAATTAAATTCTGGTAAAAACACACCTATTCATTTAGGTAAAGGATTATATCTTATACCTCACAAGGTAAGTTCTTATAAAATTGTAAAAGGCAAAGGTTTATACCTAGCGCCGTACAAGGGGGGTCAGTTAAGGCAAAAAACTAAWTTCCACGTTACCCGACAGAGCGTTGTTCGGATATGAGATWATAAAGTACGCATACATGTTGAAAATACCTCATTWCAWTGGTGTATTTTCTAGAGACAAGTTGCCTCTAYGRCCAAAAAATCAAGAGTCTGCTGTAGTTAATTTAGACATAGAAAACGGAACAGGTACTCATTGGGTAGCGTATAAGAAAATCGGAAAACAAGTTAAATATTATGACAGTTTTGGTAACTTGACACCTCCACTAGAATTGCAGAAATATTTCAATGGATATAATATYGAATTTAATTACGACAGATATCAAAAATATAACACAACAAACTGCGGACACTTGTGTTTAAAATTTTTATCATGTATACTATAACGTTAACCGGTAACTTGAGCGAATTGTCATAATATCCGTGTACATGTACGTAGGTACAGTATAACTAGCTGAAATAATGCTTCAATTTCAAACTTTGGGGGTGGTTTCCAATGTAAAAGTCAACATTAAGTAATCAAAAGTGAATATTTTCCAACAATTTTCAAAACAATCGAGAAAAACAAAAAAAAAGTGACAGAAAAACGGGAATTTTTACGCAAAACCAGTTTTCGACCAAATCTATTTTTTTATATGGCTGTAATTCAAAAACTAACCACTGTAAATACTTGAAATTTTCACCAAATGTTTATGTTAGTGTTATCTATATACAGTTTAATTTTTGACTTTTTTTAAAGTTATTTATAGACCACTGAAATTTTCGATTTTTATGAGAAATTTTTTTTTTGAAGTGTCAATAAAATATTTTTGACCCAATTAAAATACTTGAAAATTTAATACCAAGTTCCTCATAAGTTATTCTTATAGTGATATTATAAGAATACATAGGCACAATTTTTTTGTATTAGCATTTGAAGTTCAAATATTGACAAAAATTCGTCAAAACCATGAATATTTGCAAATTATTT